CCCCATCAGTGGGGAAAGTCACTTTCTAGCCAAAGCCTGGAATGGTCCTTGTGATAGCATCTTCTTTAGCGCACGAGCATGGTGTGGGAGACAGAAGCAGCCAGGGGCGGTATGAGTGACAGTGCTTGTTCCTTGGCCCCCTTCCAAAATGCGGGACAGAAGCATCACTCTGCAAGCTGCGCAGCTGAAGCCAAGACTTTCCTCAGCAGAGGCAGCAGAAGACGTCTGTGACCTTTGAGCAGAGTTTATGATGCTGCAGCAGCGATGGGAGTCCTTCCAAACAACGAAGGTGAATCTGCCCTTGTACGTACTAATCAAGAGAAGCGCTGGGAAAATGATCTGTGTCATAACGAGCAGCACAGGTGAAAGGAAAGCTCTCTGTAAGAGATGGTACAGCAAAGCAAGTTTCTGACTGTCTAGCAAAGGCAATGGGTGCTGCAGCTATGTGAGAGTATAGGACAAGCAGTCTGAGCTCCATCGGTCTGCTTGCACAGAAACACAGCAGATGCGGCTCAGGCAGCAGCACCTGTAAATAAACACAGTGCTAAAGGCCAATGCAATGGCAGAATCACCAGACTGCACTGCCGTTCAAGTCACATACCCACCTAGCATGTCAAAGGCAGGAGGTGGCCTGCATTACTACGGAGACCCCCCAATCCCACTAAGAACCTAGAGCCGGAATCTTAAATATCACCCAAAATAATGTTGTGCAATTCAAGCCCTTCCAGCTTAAGCCCAGGCTGAAGAAATATAAGTCTTGGTGGCATCAAGATGCTGTGGGATAACGTTATATATTTAAAGATTTGTCTTCTGATATTTTTCCATAGGATTAAAAGCCAGGCTTGTAGCAATGAAAAGCAAGTGATCACCATAGCAAAGCTGAATGATAATTGCTTACTTACTATGGTGTTCAGCACTAATTCACTTGGGTATTGTGAATGTTTTTCTACGTTTTTATCAGGTCACTTTGCCCTATTACGCTAGACCCTAACTGAACGCTACACACACTTACGAACATTTGCTACAGTACATTATGGCACGTTCTTTACATAGTATAATAAAACACACCTACAGCATGGCAGGGCTACAGGAAAGGTTTGTGTGCAACAAGATGAACACCATAATAAAAGCGCAACACTGCCAATAATAGGTACTAATGTAAACTTTCACAGAGCAAGGCATGGAGCCCCTAAGCCTGACCATGAACTGTTTGGCCCCCACTGTCTAACCTCTGGGCTCAGGGGCCGCAATGTGCTGGGACCCAGACAAACTCTCCCCAGCCGAGGTGTCAGCGATCCTCTGTCCAGCACACATGGCCTTCAGCATCTGGAAGACGGCCAGAGGAGCAACATTCATCTTCAGCAGGTCCACAATGATCCTGAGGACAGACCGCATGAAAGTTTACAGAGACATTAACACTGTCGCAGATTGCTTTAGGTCATACTCCAGGTTTCTTCTGTTTTAAAAAATTGTTAAAATTGTTCCTTTCTGTATCCCCAAAATTTGGGGATCAGCAATTGTTCTTCCACAAAAGTCACCATGCATTATGAATCAGCACAAAAGAAACTGAATGAATATATACACATTCTTGGGCATGCTGTTCACTTCTGTTCACACTATAAGGTTATGAAACACGCAGATCAGCCATCCGATGGGAGCTGTATTTCAGATAGACTTTAACCCTGGAACTGTTTCCAAATGTGTACAACACCCCTCTGGAATAAACCACATGCTTTCCAACAGCGTGGAGACCTTTATATGGCTCTCAGAACCCACATTAAGAAAGGATCAAAAATCTTTATCTTTGCAAATCCATTTTATGTAGAACTCCATTATACCCTCCCCTCCACTGCAGTTCTAATTCAGCTTTGCATGTGAGTGAGTTTCAGTAGGGCAGCTCAGTGGTGCAGTGATTAGCATCGCTGGATCGGACAGCAATCCAGACCCAGGGTGCTTTATGTGTGCTCTGTATGTTCTCCCTGTGTTTGGGATTCCTCCAGGTGCTCCAGTTTCCTCCCATAGTCCAAAAACATTCACTGCCTTCTGGGGAAACTGGCCCTGGTGTGTCTGTGTGTGTCTGTGTGTGTCTGTGTGTGTCTGTGTGTGTCCTGCTGGGACAGACGCTGGCTCCCCCATGACCCTGAACTGGAAAAAGCGGTTGGAAGATGGCTGGATGAATTCCAGAGTCAGAGACAGTTTCGTCCCACAAGCTATCAGATTACTGAACTCTACCCCTACCGCTGGCTCACCCTGATGCGCTCTGTATCGGAGTGCACATGCAA